AATTTGAGATATTTCAACAGGCAAAGTTATGTATTTGTGATTGATTTCCCCCATGATCCTCCACGATTTTACCCATGCTCACTTTGTTCACCGGATTGTTATTGTCCTAGAAGCATTTTACAACTTGTAAACTAAAATTTTTTCAATATTTTTCAAGTTTGTTGGAAAAATCCACACATTTCTCCTGCTTGTGAAGAAATCTGAAAAATCTTGAATTGTTTTTCCTGTTCGATTGATGGCGTGGTAGAAGATTAAGAGAGGTGTTGTAGAAGCATCATTATCATCTATATAATGCTAGATGTTGATGTTGTTATCTTCTTTCTTTCAATTCAATTATTTATCATGAGATACACTTGCTTACATATAAAATTCATAGTTACATCTGCAATATCTAAATTTTTTATGGGACTATATAATATTTTAATTTCTTTGTCTTATTTAAGCTTAAATTAAAGACCTCTGTTTCTTCATAAAAATGATTGGCAGATAGCCAATGCTATATAATGGATTAACTCCGTTCTAATGAAAACGTGTTTTCTAAGTATATTTACGCACTAATTATTCTATAATTACATCGTTCTTCCCATTAATAAATTATAAATATTAAAAATATCTTTATTTCTTTCTTTCTTTCTACAAGTAATAAATTATGGGCCCCTCTCTACCAAATGTGAATTGATCTTTTATAACATAGGGGCTGTTTGACAACCATTTTTATGTAAAAATGTATTTTAGAATAATAACTTGATAGAAAGTGTGTGGTTGAAAAATAAGAATTTTTTTTGATTTATGTGTAATATTATTTTTATAAAGAATGTGTGGTTGAAAAGAAGAGAGAGAAAAATGCATTTTGAAAAAAATGAGTATCAAACTGAAGCTAAATCTATGCTGTATTGCTTTTTCATTTTAGAGGAAGTATCCGCATTATTGACGTGACAAGACGAGGATAATTCTTTAGATAAGAGAATATAATCCTTTGCTATTTTTGTAATTTTGATATTGTCTTATACGAAAACTTTAAGTATCATCTCTATCAAATTCATTTTGATATTAATCGAAAACGAGACTTTGTACCTAACCAAACTACTTGGATGCTACACTTTCTTAGATTGAAATTAGTTTTTGAATTTCAGCTCACTCAAATTATACCAATCGAGTTCATTTTACTGAATGAATATGTTCAAAATTCATTGTTGGTGGCACCAAAGAGGTCCACACTTGATAAGGTCTGAATAGAGCAAATTGGTGGAGTTAATGCATCAATCAAAGCCGAAGCCCCACATGAAACAAACTATGAAAATATCAAAAAGTTGAGTGCAAAAGCTAACAAAATGTATTTGTGATTCTTGCCTCTCAAATATTCCCAAGTCCTATTCCAAATCACTTTATTCTTTTCTTCACCAAATTAGCCAACATTTTACTTTGTCTACCAACATTCAATTCATTGGGCTCGTTCATCACGAGATATAAAATAGAATTTTCTTTCATTTTCTTCTTGAAATTTCACACCAGTTTATTTTAAGTTTTCTTATAAATTATGAAGAACAATCAAGAATTTCTCCAAACGACTCTTCTTTTTAAATTATGAGTACAACTCTCACACAAGTCATCAGAAATTTTATAAGTTTTTTTCGCTATTAAAAATACTCTATTTGATAAGTTAACAATTTGCGAGTTGATTGGTTGACTCCTTGATAATTTTACCTTGACCGAATCGACCAATTGTTGTATGAGCTTTTTTTTTTTCTTATTATTATTATTATTATTATTAGTATTTACACTCTTGTTTCCAGCATGCTAAGTGATTATTGCACAAAAAATGTCATCAATCAATGAGAAATTGCCAATTTAACATAATGTAAAGAAATGTGTAGAAGTAGGCAAGTAGCTTTACACATTTGTAAATTAGCCAAGTCAAAGATATGAAAGAAGATTATTTTTAACCAATCTTAAAACAATTTACTTATAATTAGTAAATATTGTTCTCGTCAAAATTAAGGGTATGTTTCAGCTCCATTTTTATAAGTAAATTAAGTTTTGTAATATTGATTTTTTGAAGATTATGTAATTAGGCCTCGTTTGGTACACATTAATGTAAAAATAAAAATGAATAAATATAGTCATTATGAGTTCCACATAAGAGATAGAAAGTAAAATATGATAACTTGACGTGATGTATAACAGTCATAATTTTTATTTTAATCGACAAATAATGAGGGACAAATAGGACTAAAAAATAGGATAAATGTGATAAATGAGTTTTATATAAAAAATTATTTTATTAAAAAAAATGTGATAAATGAGTTTGAAAAAAAATGTTTTTGGCAGTAAATAAGTTACATCTATTCTGCTCGCCTCGTTCTTTAGAATTCAAAAATTCATTCAATTCAAATCCCACTTTCCATAATTTTCTTTAAGCGATTTCTGCAACAAATACATTAATCGGCAAGCTGACGAGTTAGATATTTTCTTTCTCACAAATTATTACTGTTTTTACTATATATAATAGGATGATGGGTCGATGTTTGCTGAAGTGATTGGTCCTGAATTCTTGTTTCTTGCATTCCTGTTCACTTCCTCTCATAGTTATCCTCAATTCTCCTTTTGTTCCCGTTTTCTTCACGTGGGTCTTCCTATTTACGAAAAAATATCTACATCCCACTACCTGATTTTGATGTTTCTTGTCTGCTTCATATGCGTTTATCTTTTACTTGGTGTCAATGGTTTCACATGCTCTTGTTAGTAGAATATTAGTTATTATTTATAGCTTTACGTAAAGCATCTAATTCTAGCACAGTAATTGATTTTTGAGTTTCTATTTCAGCGAAAAATCTGATTCTTGTTTCTGCTAAGTTGTTCCTTTATTTGGTTCTTTTTTGTTCCTCTTTTAGTTTAAATTCTTCAGTTATGTGCTGGATCTGTATTTGCTTCTTCATTTATAAAATGGATGGAAATCAATATGAATGTGTTAATTTGCAAAAGTTCAGCGTAAATCTAATTAGAGCATCTAGACACTCTCTAATTATATTATGCATAATAGGGAATATCTTTAGATTTAGAGATAAAATGTTTTTGTGCACTCCAACGGGCTCTCTATTTTGACTATTTATTTTGTTTTTTCCAATGAACACTTAATGATTTCTCCTCATCTCTTATTTAACGTAATTTTTAATACATTAATGGCCAATCAATTCAAATGTGTTTCGAATAATTTAAATTGTAGAGTATTGAAGTTTGTAATTTATTAAATGCAATCATTGTTAATTAAGAATATAGAGTTGAGTTTTGGAGAGCCAAACCCACTCTTTATTCTAAAAAGTTAAAACAGAGCCTCTTGGAATTTATTTTTAAGCATTGACTCTCTAAAATAGAAAGTATTTTGTGTTTAGAGAGTCTGGAGATGCTCTTACTGTTATGATGCTTGTAGAGTTTTGATATGCATAAATGTGTGGTTTTGATTTTATTAAAATATTGTTGCTAATCAACTAATGGTTATTCTCTTATAGCACAATGATGCTGAATTCTCCGACCCCATGAATCAATTGGGCAACAGCTTTTATTGGGAATTGTGAGCTGGGTTCTCACTGGTCTGGTGGAAATAGCACCGGCTGAATGTTTAGAATGATGATTTGGACTTTTCTGTATTGGTTACTATCTTTTGGAATTATTTCCAATGGGTTGAGTACAAATGTTTCTTCGCGACCAGCAGTTGTCAATGTTGGAGCAATTTTCACGCTCAACTCTACAATTGGAAGAGTTGCCAAGATTGCGATTGAAGAGGCTGTTAAAGATGTGAACGCTAATTCTAGTGTTCTACGAGAGACCAAACTTGTTGTGAATATTAATAATACCAATTGCAGTGGTTTTCTTGGCATGGTTGAAGGTAATTTACTGTCTACCATTACTCACAACATGCAGCATCCCATTTGGCTGCT